TACCAGTGGCCTAGTAATGTTACCTATGAATTAATTAAAATAGAGCAATTAGAAGTCAAATAACCTAAGTTCAAATTTAACCATGCTAACATCCTGTGTTTTATTATAGAAAAAGTTTTTCTAGATATATTGGGTTATTCCATATACATATCAAAATCGGGAATATTTGAAAACACTTATAAAATTCTTTCTTTTCTTTCAGATTCCACTACTGTACATCCAGGTGAGCAACATGAAACATCCCATAATTAGAAGGAAAGCAATAATTGCAGAGGAAATGCTCTTCTTTAAGGAATTCTTACCGTATCCTAGAAACTTGTCGCTAAGGAGAAGCCTCCATACTCATCCAACAGTGGATGGCTGTAACTCACCTCCCCTTATGACCCCTCACCCTCTCTTCATTTTCCCTCTTTTTGGAGTTTTCATATATTTATCACAATCTCTTCATATATTTATCACAATCTCTGATGTTCTAGACACTTTTATGAATTATGGTTAATTTATCTCTAGGATCCCAAAGGAAATCGCATTGTGCAATGGCAGAGTCTGAAGTTAGAGAGTGGCCTCAGACAACTGTCCGTCCCCCTCTCATCAGAGCCCCTTCAGGGCTCCTACAAGGTGGTGGTGCAAAAGGAAGCAGGTGGAACGGTAGAGCACCCCTTCAACGTGGAAGAATTTGGTATGGAGCGTGGAAAATCATGGGACATTTTCCTTCATATTGAAACTTTTAAGGCTTAGAATTTGAACTCATTCAGATTTTTTTTCCATTTGCCAAGGGTGATTTTGATTTTAGAGTACTAAGTAGTAAAGCAGTTATAGTGAATCCAGTTAATACATCAGTGATTTGTGATTAGAATTTTTATAGCTTATTTTGTAGCAATATTGAATATCCAAAATAAGACGTTGTTTCAGTGGCAAGAGAAGAAAATGAAGGAGGAGGAAGAGGAGGAGGAGGAGGAGGAGGAGAGAAGGTGGGAGGAAGAGAGATTAACTTGCTAAAGTCAGAGCGAGCTGTCATAGTCCTTCAACCAAATCTACATTTTAGAATGAAGTATAAATAAGAGAATAGGGTTACCTTAAAAATATCAGAATATCACTAGAAAGCTGTTACAAAGAACCATAACATCTCAGAGCCTTCTCATCTGGAAAGCAGTCACTAACCTCCGTTATCACGGATGCTTGGATCCACAGTGCTTCCCAAGTTTGAAGTACAAGTGACCGTGCCAAAGATAATCACCATTATGGACGAAGAGGTCAATGTGTCCGTGTGTGGCATGTGAGTTGTGTTTTTTTTTTTTTTAAACTCTTTGAGGAGGAACTGTTTAAGTCAGATTCACCATTTGAAATATTTCTGCTGACTTCTCCAGGAACAGGGGCAACACAGGCACTTTGAGGACTTCAGGAGCATTCCCAGTTGTAGACCATTCTGTTTCGTTTTTGTATTTTTCTTGTTTTCTTTCACGAGCATATGAGCATCTCAACTATCATGGGGTGGGGACTGTTTACAGAGAAGCCACACTGTTAGGAGTGACTCTGAAAGTGAGAAAACTGTACATACACATGCACACATACACTCCAGATACACACATAACACATAGACATACCACACATATATCACATATACGCACACCACACACACACCATATACACACATCACACACACACCCCCACCATTCATGAACACATACACACACAGTATGCACACACATACCACACACACACCATATACATACATACCTTACACACACAGTCACATAAACACACGCAGAGACACAGACACACACACACACACACACACACACACACACACACACACCTCTAGTGCTTAAGAGTACCTGCTTTCTCTTAACCTAACAAAAATACACTACATAGGGAAATGATTGATACATGATTATGGAGGAATTTCAGTCATTAACAAGTCATTTATTTGACCTCACAAGCATTGTGGAAAAAGAGGTTAGATGCAGAATTCATAGGGATAAGCATATAACCAAAATCTCATTTAACTCATCAACTCATTGGCCTCCCTCAGGCCTGTCAATCTGTCTGTGTTGCCATTTTCACTGAGAAGGGTGACATGACCTTTCAGGGTGATCTTTGAGCCTTCAATGTTTCCAGGGTCTTAGGCCCACATTCTTCTGGCTGTGCAGTAGCACTAACAGAAAGAGCAGGCAAAGTGAGAGCCTAGAGCTCACGAGTGCTGTGCACAGACTGTCAGCTGGGCCTCAGAGCTGCTTCAGCGTAACAGCCCCCAAGTCCCCTGAAGCTACTGAGCCAGAGATCCAGCAAATAGAGCTGGAGTAGGGAAATGGGAAAGGAAACGAATGCCCTTGAAAACAAAGCAGTCACCTGTGGCATTTATGACACAGCCCCATTTTTATAAAAAGCAAACAAAAAATATACATAGAGATTTAGATCATGGAGACACCAAATAATAGTTTGGGTTTCTGGGTGGTTCTGAGAATGTTTGCTTCTATTTCTTTTGTGTTTGTTGGTACTTCTTTTCTTCTAAGAATGTAACGTCACCTGTCCTCTCTCCTATGCAGCCTAGCTTGTAATGTTTGTATGTATACATATGAATAGGGGTGAGTGTGGGTATAGGCTATGAAACTAGGAGATCTTGAGAAGGGAAAAGTTCAGGAAGTGTGTGTGTGTGTGTGTGTGTGTGTGTGTGTGTGCGCGCGCGCGCGCGGGAACAGGACATCCAACATAAAAGTGCCAAGGAGGCCATGGGTCAAGGGGAGAGAGGGAGGGGATAAAAGAGGAGGGGAGGAGAATCCAAAAGTGCCATAATGTTTGAAAATCTCATAATGATGGGTCTCATTATTAGTACTAGGTTATACTGTGCATGCTAATCAAAGTTTTTCAAAATAAAAAAAAGTATTTAGTTTTTCTAACAAAAAGAGATTATTAAGATTATATTAAAATTAAAAAATTAAGAACTGCATATGGTGGTGCACTCTTGTAATCTCAGAACAAGGGAAACTGAGGCAGGAGGCTCATGGTTTTGAGGCTACATTGGGCTCCAGAGCTGTCTTAAGATAAATAAAATAATGAAAAAGTGGAAAACGAAAATCATCCCCGAAGAAGAAGGCAGTAATTTCAGCCTGTGGCACCGGAGACTTTCTGTGCCATTATCTGTTTGCTGCTCTGAGCGTGGAGTGGGCCCTGCAGAAGGCAGAGGGAAGAACTGCAAGTGAATGTGCTCTAGCCGAAGGGGACGTGTAGAAGGTGACAATGGGGGTGTCCAGCGTTTGCACTGAGCCATTGACAATGTTCTCACGACAGATACACTTATGGGAAGCCTGTCCCAGGACGCGTGACTGTGAACATGTGCAGAAAATACAGTAATCCTTCTAAGTGCTTTGGTGAAGAGTCACAGGCTTTCTGTGAGAAATTCAGTCAGCAGGTAGGCTTACAACTGCGCCTTCTGGGAGCAAACAGCAAAGGCATTGTTGAAAAGCAGCGGGGTGCAAAGTCAGGAGGAGACCTAGGAGGGAAATTCCATAATACCTATTGGAATTTTTAAAAACATGGAAAACAGTGACTTAGCACAACAGTGATTATTTACCTTTCATAACTGCCCAGTGCATGTGTTCTAGAATGACAGAAGCTGTTGGATGGAGCCGTCCAAAGCCTCCATGGGTATCTACTTCCACGAAAGGAGGAAAGACACAAGTCTTTTTAATCACCTTGGCAGGGAAGGGTGTCAGCTCTGCCCCCCTTCTAGAACCTGTCAGAATGCCCCATCTAGATGCCAGGGAGGTACAAAAATTGCCAGGTAGATGGCCTATTACCAGCTATCTGCCATGGGAGAGAACCCAGCATTTGGTGAAAAATTAGCTCTCTGTTGTAATAAGATTATGCTGAACATTTCTCTGTCATGGCAGACAGTGAGAAATTATACCTATCAACTATACACTGGATACTGTTAGGAGATGTACTAGTAATTAATTTCTGGATAGTGTGCATTGTGTCTTTATACCAGGAAATGCTTAGATTATATTGTCATTCCCCCTAAATTCCATCATATTACCTGACCACTATCTGTCTAGTATAAAATGCATTATATTTTATGCTTCCTTTATTCCCTTATTAGCTAGACAACCATGGCTGCTTCTCCCAAAAAGTAAGAACTAAAGCTTTCCAGTTGAAGAGGCAAGAGTATGAGATGCAGCTGGAAGTGGAGGCCACGGTCCAAGAAGAAGGAACAGGTTTGCATGGCACAGGGACATGGGAGAAGAAAATGAGGAGATCTCTTCCCATAGCCAAAGTATGAACTGTAAGGAGCATCATCCTTCAAGACAATGGACATTTTTCCCCTTCTTTTTCAGGTGTGGAAGGAACTGGAAGAGGGTCCTGTGCAATCACAAGAACTATATCCAAGCTCTCATTTGTGAAAGCAGACTCACATTTTAAACAAGGAATCCCCTTCGTTGGGCAGGTGCAGTATTTTTTTCATTCATCGGTCAAACCATGTACTATCACAAAATTCATATCACAGGTACAATTCCTGCTGAAATGTTCCTGGTTAATATTATCAATTAGTACAAGTTAAGGAAAGAAATATAACCAAATGTTGGTTATATAACCAAAAGTCATAGATTATAAAAATATAGATTATTATGGGGCTGGAGAGATGGCTCAGCAGTTAAGAACGCTCATTGGCTGTTCTTGCGGAAAACCTGGGTTTGAATCCCAGCACCCACATGGCAGCTAACAACTGTCCATAACTCCAGTCCCAGGGGATCCGACAGCCCCTTCTGACCTCTGCATGACACGGGTGCACTTACCTACATGCAGGCAATACACGCACACACATAATAAAAAATATATATTATAAAAATGCATGCATCCGTGTTTAAGTTGTATATGAAATCTATAAAATCATTCTAAAAACTAATCAAAATTAGTATGTTTTTTTCCATTTTTGGAGCAGTATTGTGTGACATTATTCAATCTCTCCATGGTTTACCTAGCAATCTAGGTAACCAGTCTAGATTTTTTATGATATTTTCTCAGAAGGGTCTCAAAATTCATGATGACAAGTTACATTACCCTTCTAATACTAACTTTGCATGGAAATGGAAAGGTAGGTGGTTTTTCTTTTTCTTTTGAAATATTAAAGATTCTGCTGCATCAGAATTTTTGTAAATATTATATTAGTACTAGTTTTCTATAAAAAGCAAGTGTATTTTAAAAGACCAGTAAACAGAGAGGTAAAACACAGTTTGAGATTCCAAGCTTTCATGATGACTTTTCTCACAGATCTACATCAGTTTACTCTTATAGTTTTTCTATTGTAAGCAGATGTGTAAGTGATCTTGGTGACTTCAAAAATCAGAGATGCAGTTGTATATACCTCAGTGGGCAGCTACTGTGTATCATGATCTTTTTTAATTGAAGTTTTGCAAATTTCATGTAACTATATAAATAACATTTTGATCACATTTAGATGTCCTCCCCAGTCTGCATCCCTCCCACCTCCTGCCCCATTTCATCTAAACGCACACATACACACACACACACACACACACACACACACACACACACACATACACACACACGCCTATAGAGTCAAACTTGTGCCCCCAAATGTCCTTCTGTGTGGGTTCATCCACTGGAGACTGGCCAACCCCCAAGAGTTTCACTCTTAAATAAGACTGACTCTCCCCCTCCCAGAACCATCGGTTGCCAATAGTTCCTTCATGCTGGGTTGGGATTTTTCACCTGCCTCCCTTCATCCATGCTGAGATTTTTGTGTGGCTTGGGCTTTCATGGGATGTGTACATGCTGTCAACATTGCTGTGAGTTCATATACATAACTAACCAGTTGTCTGGAAAATTTTGTTTCCCTCTGCTCATCCACCACCTCTGGCTCTTATAATCTTTTCACCTCATCTTCCTTGATGATCCCTGAGCCTTGGGAGGCAGAAGGTTCATCTAACTGTTCTTTTTAGGTATAGGCAGTCTGAAGCCTTTTATTATCTGCAATTTGGCTAGTTGTGGGTCTCTGTGTAAAATGTATCATGTTTTTAATGAAAATGCTACAGCTTAGACTGTGGAGGCTTTAAAAGACAGAAGGGCTAGACTTAAATAGAGAACATTCTGGAAGATTCAGTTATGTTATGATGGCAAAACATTCAGAAACTTTGGCCTCTTCCTAAAGCCAAAGTGCAGCCCACTTAAAACTTCTCAGAAGTATATTATGCTTATTTATAATTTATTGCTTTGAAATAACTATACTATTTCTCATAAGACTCTCTGACCAGAAGACAAAAACTTGGAGCTGAGTTCCTATTCTTCTCTTTCAACATTTAGCTGATACTCTATTAATAAACCTAGATTTTACTGATCATTTATGAATACTGAGCCATGCCAGCCTGTTTTGCTCCCTGTTACCAAAAGTAGCTTACAGCAGAGAAGATTTTGACTATTCTTAACACAAAGAGAGATGGTAGATCTCTGAGATGATAGTTTTGCCAGATATCTTGTTCTGATTATTACATATTACATGAGATATATTCACCTTGGACCTCATAAATATGTTATATGTCCATTAAAAATGAAAATATTTTAAAGTAGCTTATAGTGAAAAAGTCAGTACCTTTACAATATAGACTAAGTTATTTATTTGCCAAATTCAATAGTAACAACTTGGCCTTAAAGCCTTCCTTATTACTAAATGTGTCTTCTTAATTGTACATTTTGTGTATGAGAAGTGCATCATAAAGTCAGCCTACTTTCCAGAAGGTTAAACATCTACGTTGAGAAGCAGGTGCTGTAAATATCAACCTGAGAAGCACACGTGACCTGTATTAGAATTCCTTCTTCATATACTTAATGATAGTTCCTAATACTTAGTCATAGGAAATCAACAGCCTAACACAAGATATGTGCCTGATGCTCAAATATATTTGGATAATGGATTAAAATTTTCTATCACTACTGTCCTCTATACCTCTCTGCTAGTTACATGTAATATGTAGTATTTCTAAAATATTCTGGTCACTCCTGTTTATCCCTGTCACTCTGTATCTCTTCACACTGCCTTGTTTTTCTTCTTAGGGCTGATTGTGACTCACTAAGTCTACATTAATTATATATTTGGCTTCTATATCTTTTGCTAGACTGGATAGATGAACTTTTTCTTGCTCCCTGATATATCCACCGTGCCTAGAATTATGTGCATGCAATGCATAGGAGGCGTTCAAAGTATTTTTATGACAGATGTTTGCTTTTGATCTGCAGGTGCTCTTGGTGGATGGGAAAGGTGTCCCTATGCCAAATGAAATGGTCGTCATCAGAGCAAATTCAGCAAACTATATCTCAAATGTTACCACTGATGAGCATGGCCTAGCAGAGTTCTCCATCAACACCACCAACATCGTGGGCACCCACCTTACTATTAGAGTGAGTTTGGAAAGAAGTTACCAGTGACATGAGCTAATCTTGAAAACAGTTACATCATAAAGAGCTGAAATTTCTAAAATGTGCTTAGGCCTGTGGAAAGAAATAAACCCTATATATTAGAAGCAATTTGAGGTCAACTTCTAATAGTTTTAATAAGGAAGTAATATTGCTATAGCTAAAAGTGGGGTGTCTACCTTGGCAACATTGGCAGGAATGTAAGATGGGGCATATACTGTGGGAAATAGTGCAGCAGTTTCTTAAAAAACAGACAAACAAAAAGAAAAACCCCAAGCTAGTGTTACTATAAAATCCAGTAATCTTACTGTTATGTATATATTATTATTTACCCTAGTGCCCTGTTGCATGACTACAGGTAATGATACTATGATAATGTTTATTTCCAAAAGAGGAAAGAAAGTATTTTAAATATTTTTACCATAAAGAAATAGCAAATGATCATGCTAACAAATAGACACATCTAACCTGATTTAAATATTGCAAAATGTATATATGTATTGAAATAGCATATGGTACCCTATAAATACACAATTTTATGTAGTTTTGTATAAGTTAAGACTTTAATTAACTTAAACTTTAAAAACTGAAAGAAAAATCTTAGCTATTTGTACACATGTTCATGCCCAGATATGGAAATTAACTAAATATCCATCCATAGATGAATGGATAAGCAAAACAAAACATGGAATACACATAATAAAATATTCAGTCTTCAAACAAAAGGAAATCCTGCTACATGCTTCATTGTGGACAAACTTTGAACACATGCTGAGTGAAACAACCCAGTCACAAAAGACAAGTACTATGTGATTTCATTTCCATGAGATTTATGAAGTAGTCAAAGTCATTGAAGTAGAAAGCAATAGTTGGGGCTGGAGAGATGGCTCAGCAGTTAAGAACACTGGTTGTTCTTGCAGAAAACCTGGGTTTGAATCCTGGCACCCACGTGGCAGCTAACAACTGTCTGTAACTCCAGTTCCAGGGGATCCGACACCTTCTTCTCTCCTCTGTGGGCATTGCACGACACAGGTGCACTTACATACATGCAGGCAACACACACATACACATAAAATAAAAACAATAAATAAAATATTTTTTCAAAAAAGAAGGCAATAGTTGTCAGGCCTGGGCCCAGAGACAAATGATTAGTTTCTGTTTAACAGATGAGGAGATTGTTTAATTTTGCATGATGAAAACTTCTGGTGATAGCACAGCAGAGCTGCTGAGCACTGCCTTGACTGTATAGTACAGCTGAAGATGGACTTTATATGTTTTGAGATTTTAACCACATTTTTAGAAAAACATATGGATTCTAGAGTCAAAATCAAACAAACTGGTTAAAAAATGCCAACTAAATCCTATATGAAGGTCAAATAACTGCACAAACCCCTGTACTTCATTTTCTGATGTGTAAAATGAGTGCTTAACCGAGTAGCTATGAAGACTTAATTTAATAGTTCATATTAAAGTACTTGGTGAGCCCTGTTTAACTGTTACAATCCAATCATATAAAAGTACCCATTGTAAAATAATTAGCATTTAATGTCAGATATATTTACTACATAAATTATTGTCTTTATTTTTGTCCTGCTAGTCTGATTTTCCCCCAGATGACCCATTTCTACTATATATCTTATTTTGTGACGCATACACTCTGTTCGAGAGAGGTATAAATATGTGTTTATAGCTATATGGATACACAGCAGATATTGCACTATCATAGTACTAGAAAATCTCTGCCCCTAGGTATGTTGAACTATGAAAGGATAAATAATATATTTAGTTCATTCAGCTTTAAAAGGTATAAGCCTATAATAACTAAAACGTGACTATTAAGCATTTATGAATTAAGAAGAGCTGAGAATGCTTTCTCTGTACCCGACACTATGCTGGTCCTGACAATGAAAACATTTTCAAATGCCCCCTCTTTTAGAGGTCACTACATTGTCACTGGAACATAACAGTGAGATACAGTGCTTTGTTAGTAGCAATATTCACTCCTGGTACTAGGACCTGAGGATGGAAGTAGAGGAAGGCTGTACCGAGCTAAGGAACAACTTGTAGATGAAGAAAAGTAGAGTCTAAAATCATTTAGTCTCTGAGGCGTTAATATTCAGAACTGATTCACCAACTCAACTTTCTAACCAATGCTTTTTACAGAAAATTTCTCAAATCTCTAAGTTCCAGTATTTCATTTATCCATAATACTTAATTGAAGCACATCGTAAGTGAAGCAGCTATTTTGTGAAATGGTTTCTAGGTATTACTGATTCTCCTTTATGGGGTTTTACAGCTTCAGTGTATTTGCATAAATAACAGAGCCAATGGGATTTCAAGACAATGAGTCAGCAAAGATAGGCCTCATTTTAAGCTCTTTATGTCTATAAATACAAACCCCAGGATGATCTGTAGTGTAAATTCACAAACCTATATATTGGAGACAGATAAATTAAGGACCTTTCTCACTTTCATGATATAGGAAAAGACTTCAAACTGCCAGTGAAGGAGGGGCGGTAAACTTAACAGTGTTGTGAGGACAGTGACTCTTGACATATAATGTATTAAAGTAACATTGTTTTTGTACTTCATTAGGCCAAATACAAGGATGACAATTCTTGTTATGGATTCAAATGGCTGGCAGCAGAGAACGAAGGAGCACAACACACTGCTAAAGCGATCTTTTCTCCTAGCAAAAGTTTTGTGCACCTGGAATCCCAAACTGGTAAACTGCCCTGTGGTGAAACTCTGCCAGTCCAGGCACATTATGTTCTAAATGGACAGGTCCTGCAGGAGCTGAAGGAACTGGTCTTCTATTATCTGGTGAGAAGGGAGGCCACTCTATTACTCATTCATGGACAAAGCTCTCTGGGGGGAAGGAATGATGAAACTGGATGCCAGTACTTTGATTTTTTTACACTGTTACTTTATTGATGTGTGTGTATGTGTGTCTGTGTGAACATATGCCATGCATGTGAGTGCTCACACAAGCTAGAAAAAGGCATTGGATCCACTGGAGCTGGAGTTACTGAAGTTGAATCTCCTAACATGAGTACTGGGAACTGAACTCAGGTCCCTTGAAAGAGCATCAATCAGTCCTAACTGCTGAGCTATCTCCAACCCCTGACTTCTCACTCAAGTTCCTTTCAAAAGCTTCACTTCTCTTGGGGTTAATTATTGCCTGCAAGGGCTTAATAAAACAAGCATGTATCAGCCGAGCTTGGTAGCACACACCTTTAGTCCCAGGACTTGGAAAACAGAGGTAGGTGAATCTCTGTGAGACTGAGGTCAGCCTGGTCCACATAGGGAGTTCCAGGCCACCCCAGACTACAGGGACTGTGTAAAAAAAATCAAACTAAACCAAACCTAACAAAAACAAATACCAAGCAGGCAGAATGGAGGTCAGGACTGAAGTAAGATGCCTGATGAGAAAATAAATTTTCATTTATTTCTTGTTTTGCAGATAATGGCAAAGGGAGGCATTGTCCGAACGGGGACTCACGTGTTGCCTGTGGAGCAGGGAGACAGTGAGTACTGCTTAATCTCCACAGCCCTGCTGGGTGCTGACTGCTTGACCTTGTATTGAAAGCATATCAAGAATACTTTCAAACAAAGCTCCTTTCCACCTAAGAGGAAGGAAAGCAATGTGCTTTTTCACCCTTTATCAAATGTTTCCTTTTCTTTAGTATATTTTGTTTATATTACTTAAAATACTGATATTGTTCTGTGTACTATAGTTATTCCAAATTTTCCAACCAGAAATACTTACAGACTCTGTTATCAACATGGGGGTAGGGAGGCATTTCACAATTGTATTAAAAAGAGAGGTGGAAGTTTGGGGTGCTTTACCAGGTCTTGGGCTAAACTGTTTATAGCTCTCTACATGCCTGTTTCTCATTTGAGGGTTGTGATGACTTATGAAGGATCAATTGGATATTTTAACCACTCAGTGGTACCCTACCTATGAATGACTGAAGAACATTGAACTTTTGAAGGCTTCCCATGCTCTGATGGGGCATAGTAAGGACTTGCTAGCAAATATGAATGAATACCCGTTTATTCCTTTGTGCCAACAGAGAAGCAGCACAGTACACTTGGTGATGCTTAGTGCAGCCTCTACAGACTGTTCACAGGCATCAAAAACTAGCTTCTTTAGGAGCATAGGCTTCCTCTTCAGGAGAAAAGGAGAAAGAGGATAAAAGCATGAGTACTTTATATTGGGCCTCACAGCCTCAGACTTTCCTAACGTATGGAATCTAGAATGAGTTTTGGTGAAGGAGATGCTGCGATACACTCAGGTGACATTTAAGTCTTGAGTCGACCAGCTAAAGCTCAAAATTGGTGACAAATCAATATATGATTTATATAGGAGAGAGGCTTTCTCTTTTTTTGTAAATTTTTTATTGAATAAGTGTATTTCATACAGAATATCTTATTCAGTCTTAATCGTCTTTATACCTCCTTGCCACTGACATCTTTCCATAGCCCCCCCCATTGGGATAAGTCAGGAGTGCCTGGAATGTAGAGCATGGCTGCCAGTGTGGAAGCCTCCTAGTGAGGATGGCAGGAAACTGGCCAGCTCCATTCTAGATACACTGTCTCTCACCCACCAACCCCCAAGCAAAACTATTAGGCCTCTAATCCTTTAATCCTAACTGGGTCTCTTGTAGATCATGTGACTGGAGGACAGGACAAAGGCACGTAGCCTTAGAAGCCCTCTCCCTCCCCCTACCTGCCTGGCCACCAGAAAACCAACCTCGCTGCATGAGGCCTCCTCCCCCCACTGGTCTCTCTCCTTGCCCTGACCTTCTGCTATGGAACCAATGCGCAAAGGTCTCCCCGTAGCAGTGGAGTTCGGGCAGAGGGGAGGCCAGCACACCCCATCCATCCATTCTGCCATTTGTGTTAAGGCCTATCGAGTCAAGTTAGTGTCTCCAGACATCCCTCAGTGCAAATTCATCCACCCGCTGCATGAGGCCTCCTCCCCCCACTGGTCTCTCTCCTCGCCCTGACCTTCTGCTATGGGACCAATGCGCAAAGGTCTCCCCGTAGCAGTGGAGTTCGGGCAGAGGGGAGGCCAGCACACCCCATCCATCCGTTCTGCCATTTGTGTTAAGGCCTATCGAGTCAAGTTAGTGTCTCCAGACATCCCTCAGTGCAAATTCATCCACTGAGATCTAGGCAGCCTATCTAGAGTCCCTTCATTTAAGAAGATCAGCTCTTCCTCACCCAGAAGTAATCAGCTGCCAATAATTCTTCGACTAAGATTGGGGCTTGTTGCCCATTTCCATAGTTCTGTGCTGGGGTTTTGTCTGCCTGAGTTTGCACAGGTCTTGAGCATGCTGTAGGTTGATATGAGAAGGAGCTTGTAGGACTCTGCTTCCATATGGTCATCCACCTCCTCCCTGGTTCTTAAAATCTTTCTGCTCCCCTCTTCAACAATGGTCCAGGTTGATATGAGAAGGAGCTTGTAGGACTCTGCTTCCATATGGTCATGCACCTCCTCCCTGGTTCTTAAAATCTTTCTGCTCCCCTCTTCAACAATGGTCCCTGAGCCCTGGGTGGGTGGAGGTTAATATGAGTCCTGTCCAAGAACCCACACTCTGCAGACTCACTTAGTCTCCATGCTTTGGCTATTTGTGACCTTCAGTGTTCCTGGCCTTCTGTTACATGAGGGAGCTTCATTGATGAAAATTGTGATATTCATTAGTGTCTTCTTTACCCCTTCCTCTTTGTTCCATGAGCCTTAGGTATAGAAGTTTCATTGTAGATGTGCCACTTAGGCCTGGGCAATTGACAGACAATGTCTGTGGGTGACCAGTTGTGGAACTCTGTAATAAACTCTGTTGCAAAAGAAGGTTCTTTGATGAGTGGTGACTGGGATACTTGCCTGTAAATATAAGGATCTGTACCAGCCATGTGTATTTGGCTGTTTATAGTGCCACACATGTGTTTCCTCCCATTGAGTGTGACGTTTAATTTTGGGGGTAATCAACAGCTACCTAGTTAAAGAGAGGCTTTCTTAGGATTGTCTTCTCTAAAGCCAGAGTTCTGAGAGGTGGTCATTCATCTATTATGTCTACTGTCTATTGTGTTTACTAATAGCAGCAGTCAATAAGAACAGATTCCTAGAATGTAATAAAGTAACTTTTACTTTCACTCTGGGATATGTCTAACCCATGTTTTCTTCCTCTCATTCTCTATGCTCCAGTGAAAGGTCATTTCTCCCTATTGGTCCCTGTGGACTCAGACTTGGCTCCTGTGGCTCGATTGCTCCTTTATACCGTTCTACCTGATGGGGAAGTGATTGGGGACACTGCAAAATATGAGGTTGAAAACTGTCTGGCTAACAAGGTTGGTGCTTTCTATCATAAAATTTCAGCATTTAAAACAAGAAGCTACTATTATTATCAATTATTTTATACATTTGAGGATCGAAGTATAATGGTTTAAATGAAGGTCCCAGAAACTTTCTGCAAGGTCACTGCAGAGTCACAGCTTGGTTTTCAAAATCATCTGTGCAGCGTTGACTCTTACCATATGGGACAGCTAAGTGTGCTTGCTCCTTCTGTGATGAAATATTAGCAAGTGTGCAACTAGGTTTAAAGACCACAAATAGCCAAAACTAAAACACGGGCAAATTTAGACCCACTTGTATTCCACTTATCCAGAATTGACACATAACTCTTTGTATAGCAAAGGTTAAAAAGACACTTAAATGACCAGTTTATAAGAATCATTAGAAATAACTACAGTGGCTTCACTACATCCTGAGAATCAAAGCCAAGTGGAGGGAACAAAAAGCTTTACTCTGCTGGTGTAATGCCAATCACCATGAAGTAGTTATGCATCGAAAGTGAGGTGCACCTGGAAAGTAGCACATGGTTAAATTTAGAAATGAACTTTTCTGATCCCTGTCTTCATTATCACAGGTGGATCTGAGCTTCAGCCCAGCACAAGGTCTTCCTGCCTCTCACACCCTCCTGCGAGTCACTGCTTCTCCTCATTCCCTCTGTGGCCTGCGAGCTGTGGACCAAAGTGTGCTGCTCATGAAGCCCGAGGCTGAGCTCTCTGCATCCTCGGTGAGTTCCTGTCAGTAGTGGGGATCAGGTAAGGCCATGAAAGGGACTTGAAACAAGAAGAAATGCCCAAGTCAGGTAAGATCTCTTAAAGCTATAATCTAGTCACTGGCAGGTTAGTAGTTTTGAGCTCTTTTATGTGCACTTTGTTTAATGAAAAAGATAACCGCATGCAACCTCTAATACCCGATTATTTCCTCCCTCACACCACTAGCTTCTGCAGGAGAAAAATGGTAAAAATGTATTGCTTGATATATTGAACCAAGCAAATCAATATTTTGAAATGATAAAAATGATAAAATTAGCCCCAAAGAGTTATGGTTCAAACATTAATACATTGCTCTGGGCCACACGGCAACACAACCCCATCTTGACTCTGTTAAGCCACTCAGTTATGCAGTGCTGGAGAGAATGCAAGGCAGGTGGTGGAAAGTGGTACAAGAGAGGAACAGAGATGCGAAATAAAAAGCAAGTTATCAGGGAGGTTAATCAGGGAGGTCATTAATAAATTATATTTATGTAATGTAAAAGAAACCATGTACTACCCAGAGGGCATGAAGCCCATAGCTCCATGCAACCAATAATGTTTGTTTTCAAATGAATTGTGACATTTTGGAAAGCCTAAATGACAGTGAGGCTTTTGCATGAGCCAAGGCTTAGTGATCCATTTGTGTGCACTAAGATTGCACAGGTTCAGTGATATTTCAATTTCTGTTTTCATAAGAATTATATCAACTGAAATTGTGAAGGCTCCAAGTTAAACATCCTTCCTGAAAAGGATATTGTCTCTGATGAATAAATATTAGGAAAGTGAATCACTGTATGGTACATGACATTGAGAAATGAAATACTTTAAAGAACAAAGTTAATAGAAGATATAACAAACTGATAGACTGTTATCCATAACGACTTTACAGTATATACCAAAAGTAGCTTGCTTAAAGCTTAAAATTTTCAGTATGAGACCAACTGGGATATCTTCTTACTGAAGTTTTTATTTATCAAAATTTTACAAAGAGAAATTATATATTTGTAGTTCTATAAAAATACAAATATAGGGCTGGTGAGATGACTTGGTGGGTAAAGACACTTATTGCTGATCCTGACAACTTGAGTTCAAGCCCCAGAACCCATCTAATGGAAAGACAGAATTGACTCCCACAAGTTGTCCTCTGACTTCACATGCTTATGTGCACACACACACAAAATAAAATAAACTGTAAAGCTTTAAAAAAGAAAATAGAAGTATAAGAAAACATTACTTGATCTAAAATTTTATTAATTATTATATTATTGTGTGTGTGCTTTTATGATGTGTGTGTGTGAGTGCCATGGCACCCATGTGGAGGTCAGAAGACAACTTTCAGGAGTCAGTTCTTTCTTTATACTGTGGATTCTAGGGATTCAACTCAGGTCCTCAGGCTTGTGTGGCAAGTGCACCTCCTGAGCCATTTCACCAGCCCATGCTTCTTGGTCTTTATAAATGGTATTTCCATTGAAAATATTTAAAAAATTATACTATTTCAGTAAGCAAGGGAATATGTAGAAAGATAACTTTTGTTTTACATTCGCATACCGTGATTTTGTACTTGTCAAAGTTTAAAAATGACAACTCCGATGGACGTAGAAGGTAGACTGTCCTAGTAATCTGTTAACCATCAAGCAGGTGCTTTCAGGTGTTTTGCAATCAGATATGAGCTCTTCTCAACCCTTCATTAGCATTTTACTAATAGAACAGTTGGTGCCTAATAGTGTAAGTCATTCATCGAACACATATTTATTTAATGCTTACTGGTTCCAGGAGCCATACTAAGTGCTAAGAATCAGTTGTGAGCTACTGGGGGGATAAAAATTTGTGCCTCATAGAATTTGCATTTTTTTAAATAATTGAAATAGACAATAATGATAAACTGCGTTGGAAAAAAATAAAGCATGGAAGGAAAATGGGGGCGGGTGTTAAGAAGGAGTTGCCTTTGAGAAATGCAATCATGCTGTTGACTTGGCTAAGCTAGTCTTTTCAATCAGTGTTTGCCTCCTGAGAATGCAGTTCAGTGCATCTTTCAGCATTTAAGCCTCGTTTACTTCTCTCAGCTAAATACATTTGAAAGCATTGCTTCCCACATTTCAGAGTTAAACATTTATGAACTGTATAAAGATCAGGAGCATTTTGTCTCCATGAATAAAACTCTAGAAAATACTCTTGCCTCCAGTGTAGAGGATATTTATGGTACTTCTCCATGTGCCTATTTGGGACACGTACCCATTGTTAGATTCAGAGGCAGTTGCTAACCACTATATATAGAACTATCATTCCATTCAGTCATTCTAGAACTTTGTACAATGGGCACCCATGGCACTACTCAATTTCTCAACTAGTAAGGCTTCACTTCATCTTAGTATTTACTACAGTCTTTGCCTCTGAATGGTGTAACCAAGTATTATGACTCCTGGTTAATTAAATGGAGAATACATTAGTTTCCAGAATGGTTAAACATCCTTAAAAGAAAACACTTTGGGTTGTTTATAATATCACACATAAAATAATTACTGTTGAATGAGAAGATGATCCATACCACTTTAGAAATTACTCAGGCAATGAGGGTGCTCAAAGGAAGCTTGGTGCTGATTATTCCTGTTCTTTTCTTCTTGCATGTTAATAAAAAGCTGCCAATAAGTTAGTCTTTGTGCCTTGCATTTGTACAGGTTTATAATCTGCTACCAGTAAAAGACCTCACTGACTTCCCTGAGGGTGTGAATCAGAAGGAGGAAAGTGGTGAAGACTGTGTCAGTCTCCACAATGTCTACATTGATGGAATCTTGTATTCCCCAGTGCAAAATACAGATGAAGAAGACATGTATCAGCTCCTACGGGTAAGCTCCTTACATTGCAGATAGACAGTTCTGAAGGCTCTTGAAACACTATGTATGGAAGGCATCATTTATTTAAATGCTTTCTTATCATGAAACAGGGAGAGTAAAGGAGTGAAGAGACTTCCTTCAGCAGATCTACCAAAACCAGCAGAGCTGATCTTTCCAGTGGGGCAGTCTCTCCAGCCCATTACTGGGATTTTTGACAATTAATAGAGTTGTCTTTCTTATTGAAACTCTTTGCTTTGATATATTTAGAAATATCACATAAAATCCTTGCTGTTGAATGAGTTTAAAGCACAAAATAAAATTATCTCCACAAGTATACTGATGTTCCTTCTCCACAAGTGAACACTGAAAGTTTAGTATTTAGATAACTAGACTGCGTGTTAAATTTAAATGGAAGGAAGTACGTATGTATGTGCCTGACTATGTGATCATTTCTTTTATAGGATATGGGCTTAAAGGTGTTCACCAACTCAAAGATTCAAAAACCCAAATTATGTGCACAGCTTGATGAATATGATCATAGAGGCTTTATAGCTTCAAATTTAAAAGGTTAGTGCTTAAAAATAAAGATGAAAATAAAAATAAAGTTCTAAAACTGTGATCAAAATTAACAAGAAAAGACTTGATTAAGATGTATTAAGGCTCTTGGTCAATGTTCATAACAATTTCAGCTGAAATCTGATAGTGTCATGTCTCTTACAAATTTAACTCTGGAGAGAATAGAAGGCAGATTGTACAAAGGGTTCGAGAGCTGTACAGATCCAGGACAGATGCAAAATAAAGGACTGAGGAGTCAGAAAATCATTCATGAAGAACCAGCTGCTAATAAATGGAGATGAATGGATTGATAGAGAAGAAAAAAGACTTTCCAAGAGTTAAGCAGTGAAAACAGTGTCAGAACTGCAGAACAGGACTGCATTCTCCTCAGTCGAATAAAGAGCCTCTTCAGCTGCTCCAAAGCATCAGTGAATATTCATGCTAGAACCACACATATCCCTCAAATATGTAAACAATTTCCTTGCTGGATCAGTAATCAGCATTTATTTAACTTTATAGTACCAATTAATGATCCAAAACAAGTTGAGTGTAGATAAAAATGTCAAAAATCAAGGAAAACATTTGGTGAGAATCACTTAGCTCTTCAAAGCTTATTACAAAGAGTTGAATATTTTTATTTATAAATTGTAGACTCCTTTAATAGATTTATAGTAAATGCATCTATTCTCCACCTATCTATCCACATTTCTCTATGTACATTTTCCTATCATCTATCATCTATCTGTCTATCTATCATCTATCATCTATCTATGTATCTATCTGTCTCTATCTATCTATCTATCTATCTATCTATCTATCTATCTATCTATCTATCTATCTATCTATCTTCCATCTATCTACCTATTCATCCATCCATCTATTCTTCCATTTACTACCTACCTATCTGTGCATATTTTCCCCAGAGAAGTGGCTGTTAAGTATTTACCAGCACTTTATTAGCCGAGGTGGTATTATGGGAGAACTGACATGTTCTGACTCAGTGTGGAATACACAGCTTTTTCCTATTCTTGATCCTCTCATTCCTGTAAACCATTTTTCAAAACTACTACCAGAATATCTGCACTATAGTTTTTCTTTGAGCTTACAGAGAAACATGCCAGTGGCAACCCAGACTCCTGCCTTCCTCCCCACCCAATACCCTAGGTCTGTCCATTTGGCCTAGTGGAGAGTAGTGTCCTAGACTTCGCAAGGCCTCCCTCTCACAGACGATCCAAGGTTTTCTGCCACACTTGTTGCATTCTGTGCTAGTAATTCTCTTTCCCACAGTTTAGCTTGTTCTAATACCTCAGAATTCAACTAAGATATCACTTCCTCTAAAAAGCTTTCTTGATTCCTGTATGCCCATTTCTGACTCCTATTTTACCACCTTGTTCTTTCAGCGGTAGCACTTTATAGTATAGCATGATCTTTCATAAAGTTTATCTTTGGATTTATTGTCCCTGTCTTCTCTCACCCTGGATAGCATCAGTTGAATATCGTGTTGGAAGTTCAGGCCTCATGGAGCTTAAACAGGTTTCAGCACCTCCCAAAGAGAGTACACGGAAGTACTTCCCTGAAACATGGATCTGGGACTTGGTGGTGGTGGAGTAAGTAATCTCTTTATATATAAGATGCAGCAATATAGATCCTTCACAGTTTTGCATTCGTAGTGAATTTTTCTTTCTTAATATATATGTTTAGGATGCATAACATGACATTTCATATTGATATGATGGTTAATACAGTCAAGCAAATGAACATGTCTTCACCTCGCATTGTGATCTTTTGTGGATGTGTGGTAAGAGAAGGTAGAGTCCATCCTCTTAGAAAGTTACCAGTACACAATACAGAACTGTTAATTATATTCTTTGCACTGTATGTCAGATCTCTCTATCCATCCTATGTGACTGCAGCTTTGTACCCTGGCACCTTCTTCTATTCATTACCCCAACCACCATCTGCTGCCTCTATGTATTAAGCACTTTTAGATTATACGCAAGTGAAATCATAACAGCATTTTTCTTTGGCTTCTTTCATTTAGTATGTTCTTCAAGTTTATCTACATTGTCACAAATGTCAGGATGACCTTGTGTGTGTGTGTGTGTGTGTGTGTGTGTGTGTGTGCGCGCGCGCGCGTGCGCGCACATGTGTGTGTGTGTGCATGTGTGTATGTAGGGGAGTGCACACCAGTGCATAAGCTTGTGAGATGCATGTGTGTATGGAGGCCAGAGGTTGAAGCCAGGTGTCTCACCTTATTTTTTTAGGTAGGGTCTCTGGAGCTCACCAATTATGAATAGACTATTTGGCCAGCAAGCTCCTGGGATCTGCCTGCTTTGACCTCCCTCCCAGTGCTGGGGATCAGGCCTTCATGTTTTTGCAGCAAGCCCTTTAACTACTGAACCATCAGCCCGCGCTAGGATGGCCTATTTAAAGGCTGGGTAATATTCACATATCACAGTTTCTTTATCACATTAACTAGCAACAGATGCTCTGGTTGTTTCTATATTTTGCCTGTTGTGAATGAACTTACCATGGGCATAGAAGCACATATACCACTATGAGCTGGTGACATCAAAAGACTTTCTAGCTCATAAGTAGTTCCTTTTTACTTTAAAAAGGAGTCCCTAAAGTTATTTAAAATGATTGTACTAAGTCACATTCCTTCCAACAACACACAAAGCTTCTTTCTTTTATCCCCACCAGGGTTTTTCTTTTATCTAGTCTTTTTAAAGCATATTTTATTTATTAATTTTATTTTATGTGTATGAGTGTATTGCCTGCATGTGTGTAAGTGCACCTGTGTTGTGCAATGCCCACGGAGGTCAGAAGAGGGCATTGGATCCTCTGGAAGTGGAGTTAAGGATGGTTATTAGCTGCCATGTGGTTGCTGGAAATTGAACCTGGGTCCACTTCAAGAACAGCCGGTACTCTTAACCACTGAGCCATCTTCCCAGCCCCATCTCTTGTCTTTTATAGTGATTGCTCTAATAGGTGACTTTGATTTGCTTTTTCCCTGGTGATTAGTGATGTAGAACACCTTATCGTGTATCTGTTTGGTTGTCCCTGTATCTTTTTTGTAAAATATCTATACATTAGCCTGCCCACTTTTAAATCATATTATTGTGTGTTTTTATTTGCTTTTGAATTGTGTGAGTTCCTTATAAATTATGTATATTAATCCCTTACTAGACACATGGTTCACAAGTCTTCCTAACTATAATTTAGTACCTGTACCTTAACTTCTCTCTGTTACCTCTACCTCCTATTCCCGCTCCAGCCTTTAGTGAGCACTATTCTATTTTTTTCTATGAAATCAGCTATTTTCACATTCCACATGTGAGTGACACATGCAACATCTCTCTTCTATGCTCCTATTTCACTTAACACGGTATCCTCAGGGAGAATTGAGGAGGTGGGTTCACTCTGTACAAAGCTGAGAAGAGGATCTGGGACAATGCTTCCACTCTGGTTCATTTTGGACACACTCAAACTCATCATGTTATTCTTATTTGCCCCTGGGGGCCAAGCTTATGGGGTAGGTCGCTTGACCCCCGGCGTGGTGTGTGCGGGCACCCTGGGGTCTCCGCCACACCTGGCTAATCCCGGCGTGAGTCTGGCTGCAAGCGATGTGGGGAGCGCGCCTGGACTCCCAGGCGCACTCACTCTGGATGTGGCCCAGGGTCAGGTGTGCGTGCACTCTCCCGCCGTGGTTCTGGTCCCGCTGGCTAGCCACTGGCGGGCCTGGCCGGCCGCGCCTCTCTGGAGACAGCAGGTGCGCAGACTTCTCTGATGCTGGCTGTAGCTGATAGCTACACACTTCTCTGGAGCGGAGAGCTTCCTCTGCTACTAGAGTATTATCTAGTCGGGATCCGGCCCCTATTACACCCTTGTGCCCTTCCTCAGGATTGCAGAGTCCTGGCCAGTGAGCTCCACCGGGAAGAAGCACGGAGGCGGCGAAAGCTGGGGTATCCGTGGGTCGGTAACGGAGAGTGCTGCTCTCCGGTGAGATCAGGTCGCCGGTAGTAAGACACAGGACTCAAGACACGGCTTAGTCTGTGTTTACTGCTTTATTGTATCTCTGCTCCTTGCTGTCCAGCGCTCTCCTGATCCAGCTTTCTGGGACCCAATATCCGGGACCCCGTCTCTGACCTGATCTCCTGGTCCCAGTCTCTGACCTGTTCTCTTGGTCCCAGTCTCTGACCTGATCTCCTGGTCCCAGTCTCTGACCTGTTCTCTTGGTCCCAGTCTCTGACCTGATCTCCTGGTCCCAGTCTCTGACCTGTTCTCTTGGTCCCAGTCTCTGACCTGATCTCCTGGTCCCAGTCTCTGACCTGTTCTCTTGGTCCCAGTCTCTGACCTGATCTCCTGGTCCCAGTCTCTGACCTGTTCTCTTGGTCCCAGTCTCTGACCTGATCTCCTGGTCCCAGTCTCTGACCTGTTCTCTTGGTCCCAGTCTCTGACCTGATCTCCTGGTCCCAGTCTCTGACCTGATCTCCGACTATTAAGAGAAGACTAGCATATTTATATACCATGGGGGTAGTGGTAAAAGCTTTTAGATACTTTGTGAGATATTCTATTTACATGTGGAAGTGGGTTTCTGCTAGTCTATTGTCTACCTGTAAAAACCACACACAGGAAGGCATGGTATACATAGAGCCAAAGGCCATGTTTATGTCAAGGCATCTGTGGTGGCCACTTCAAAGGGAGAGACGGGAAAGATGCCAGAAAGCACCTTGCTATGAAAAGGAGCCCGCGGCACATTCCCGAGCTGCATGAGCTGTCCAGTGTGAAGGGGCTTCGACTTTTGCATAACAGAGGTCTCCCAACACAAGCTTAATATCTTCTTCTGCTTCCGGAGAAAGACAAGTTGCTTGGGCACAGATCTATCTCTGGAGCCATCCAGCAGAAGGAGGAATAAGACAGGCCCAGGTATCAATTCAGGTTCCCAGAGAACCAAGTGCTAATTAAACAACTGGGTAAAGCTGGGTCATTGTCTAGTGAAACTTATTCCAGGGAAAAACTAGATGCTGAAAGGTTCTCTTGTTCTCTTTGCACTGAGCCCTGGAGAAAGCCACTGAAAATGCTCACATCTCTTTGTTCTCCATGGTTTTGGAGGTCTTCAGAATGCAAGCACATCCCTTCTTCAAGATAGGCGATTTAGGAGGCAGACCCCTTGGGTAGGAACTTGAAAATCTGAGGTGCTTGATACATTGATGTAATCCTTCCAAGCAGAAACCAGAAACTAGTTTTATCACTGAAACAAGCCAGGGGCAGAAGGAAAGGGAAGTGCCTACCTTTTCCATTCAAGCCCCTGAAAGTCTGCTGTTTGTCTCTCTTCTTCCAAATGGGGTAAAGTCCAATCCTCCTCAGGCAACATGTGGGTAAATAAGCTCCTTCCAGGGAGAAACTGAAAGCTCTTATCTAATTTGTCAGTGTTCAAGGACTTTTAAATTCATTGCTGTTTTCAGGAGAGGTTTATCATGTTGCTGATACAAAGTCCTGTTAACCTGTTGAGTTGGCAGTAAGAAATTTTGAATAAATTTAATTCTAATAGTCTAGAATATAGGCATAAGGACTAAACATAAACAATTACTGTACATATTACAAATATGAGCCTTTTATCAGTAAGAAAGCATGGATTAGACATAGAATCATGCAGGCCAACTATACATAGTAGTAGCAGAACTGAAGACTTTAAACCTGTCAAAGTGGAATAATATTTTCCAACAGAGAAGTTAAGAACAATATCAAATTGCATACTCAGTTTTTAACTATGCTGTCTATAAAAATTTTTGTTACAACTCTATCTACAGATGATTCTGATATAGACTAGAAACAAAAACAGATTTAGAAGAAAAGCCTACTATTTTCCCTTGGCAAGTCTTGACTGTGCTGTTCATTATTGTCATTTCTATTGAGTGTGTTCAAGTGATGACAATATAGAATCGTTTATGAGTTTTCTTCCCAGGAGGGATTTATTTATCTGCTCACTTTCTCTCTTTCACACCCCCACCCTCCCAGCTCATCAGGAGTGGCTGAAGTGGGAGTGACAGTCCCTGACACCATCACTGAGTGGAAGGCCGGAGCCCTCTGCCTGTCCAACGACACTGGACTTGGCCTCTCTCCCACGGCCTCTCTCAGAGCCTTCCAGCCGTTCTTTGTGGAGCTCACAATGCCTTACTCTGTGGTCCGTGGAGAGGCCTTCACACTCAAGGCCACTGTAATGAACTTCCTTCCCACATGTATCCAGGTGAGGATTTCTTGCCTAAATTGAGCACAAGTTTATTAAAAGTCACATTCTTGGAAATACAGAAAATATCTATAATATATGATCAATAGAGGAAGAATATTATGAGAAACATGTTCATATGCTATATAAACTATGAACCAAATTGCAAAACACAGCTTTAATTTTATCATAATCCTTTAAAGTTAGACAGCTTACACAGTATAAAGATGTCTTATGAGGACAACAAACATCACTTCTCTCCTTTCTCATATTTTTGAATTTTGTAAGATTCAACTTTTTCTACATTCTTACATATTTAACTTTCCCCAGTTAAAAAGCTGTTTGTGAGCACCAAATATGTATAGGTCTTATGTACCCTACTGAGCTGAGGGAGTGGCGAGGCTTCCAGGAGAGCGTCCATCCAGGAAATATTTCTTCATTATTGCTCTTGTGACCTCACTATGTGAAAGACCAGTCTACCCTCTAAATACTAAGGTGTGTCTGCAAGATCCTCCTCAGTGTACCATAGTAACGAATCTTTGTCTTCTTGGTGTTAGGCAACCTGAAATCTAACCACCTTAAATATGCTTCCATTTAAACCTGTGCTGGTCTGCTCTACTCCTGTTTATTATGTTGTTCCAGGTTGCTGTAGAGCTGGCTGCCTCTCCCAAATTCCTAGCTGTCCCAGTGGAGAAGGAGCAAGGGTCTCACTGCATCTGTGGGAATGGGCGGCACACTGTGTCCTGGGCAGTAACCCCAAAATCCTTAGGTGAGTAGCAGACTCCCAGAGAATTGCTTATCACAGTGGGCACCTCACAACCAGTGCTACTTCTCCCAGGCGAAGACCCCAGAAGGGAGGCCTTTTTCCTTTGCCTTTCATTCTAGGATGCCAAGTACTGTCAGATATGGTGTGCATGCCTATAATCCCAGCACTTAGAAGGCAGAGGCAGGGAGATCGTGACTTCAAGACTGATCTTGCCTACATACTGGAACCTTGTCCCAAACACGATGCAACAGAACACAACCACCACCGCAACAAAATGAAAGTCATTTCTTGTAAGACAAGAGCCTAAGAGATCCACACTTCCACGTCTCTGCCTTCACTTTGGACTCTAGTGTCACTAAACTCCAATTTACCTTCCTTCCATCCTCCTCCCCTTGTGTATTTATGAAACAAAAGCTTACTCTTGTAAATCTTGAATTTGGAAGCATGGAGGAAGAAGAATATATACTCATCTCTACTTGGCTCCCCCCACCCCCAGGAAATGTGAATTTCACTGTCAGTGCAGAGGCACTCAAGTCTCAGGAGATGTGTGGGGATGAAACACCAACAGTCCCTGAATATGGAAGGAAAGATACCGTCATCAAGCCCCTGCTGGTTGAAGTAAGTAACCCCGCCCATCTGGCATGGCACACTGAGATGCAGAAGATCACTGTGGATCTAGTTAGGGGGCTAACATTTTTTGAGGGGTGGGGTTACCTTTTTGAGTTAACAATGCATGGTCCATAATAATATTTATAGTATTTATAATAATTTACACATGTATATATACTAAAAATAGGGATAATGTATGACTAGTTCACAACATATTTTCTATCATCTATATCTACCTATCATTTATCTATCTCTCATCATCTATCTATCTAATCTATATATATATATATGTATCATCTATCATCTATCATCTATCTATTATCTATCTACCTTCTATCTAATCTATTTTTCTTATCTGTCTTCTTGTTATTTACCTTCTTTAACTTTCTCCTCTTATCTCCTTCATAATGCTTATAATTAATAGAAACATTTCTATTAGTTCTTTATATATTTCTTTATATAAGTACAGCAAATTCTTCTCTTCATTAGTTAGAAGTCTGTTGTCTCTCAATCAACACATATGTTTTGAAGCTCACTGCACTTCACCTAACTTTTCTTTCTTTTGTCTAAAGCCTGAAGGACTAGAGAAAGAGGTGACATTCAACTCCCTGCTTTGCCCATCAGGTAAGCCTCAACCATGGTGGTTGACTAGCATTGACTAAAGCTTGGATAATATTTGAAATTCAAAGATTGTTTTTAATATTATCTACACTTTCCTTGTAGAATAAAACCTGAAGTACCATCAACACGTGTAATAAATGAGGGAGAAACTGGTTCTCAAAGAGGCCAATGCATGGTTGTGCCTGCCTGTAATCCCAGTACTTGGGTGGCTGAGACAGGGGAGCCAAAACAAAGAAAAAACCCCATCATAGCAAGCAGAGGCTTCTTTCTATAAGGATCAAATTCCTTTTCTATCCTAATATATATCCAGTTCTTTCAACACCAAGTTTTTAAAATTATTTTTATTTTATGTGTCTTAGTGTATTTCCTACATGTGTGTAAGTGTACCCACATTGTGAAATATCTGTGGAGGTCAGAGAGGGCCCCAGATCCCCTGGAACTGGAGTTATGGACAGTTGTTAGCTGCAGTGTGGGTGCTGGGAACTGAACCAGGTCCTCTGCAAGAGCAATCAGTGCTCTTAAGTGCTAAGCCATCTATCTCTCCAGCCCCTCAATGCCAATTTTTAAAATAATTCTCCTTTTCTCATTATAAATCCTTTAATCTTTGTTGAAAATTGATTGGCTATACATGTGTGGATTCATTCTATGGTTTCTAGTCTGCTATATTAGTCTACATGTACGTTTTAATGCAAGTATCATGCTATTTTAATTAGCTTGCAATACACTTGGAAATCAATAGTGTAATGCCTTCAGTTTTGTTCTTTTTGCTCAGGATTACCTTTGTTATTTTTTTGTGGTCCCATGTATATTTAAGGATTTTTTTTCAATTTCTGTGAATATTCCATGAATTGCTAAGAAGAATTTGTATTTCTTAGTGTTTAGGTGGAATATTCTCTAGGTATATGCCCTGTTAGGTCTGTTTGATTTATGATGTCATTTAACCCCTGAGTTGATGATGATGATGATGACAATGATGATGGCCTGTACTTTGGTGACAGTGGGGTGTTGTAATTAATCTGCAGTTTGAGATTTAATAATATTTTTAAATGAAAGTGGGTGCCCATGTGTTTGGTGTGTACATCTTTAGGATTTTAGAATCCTGTTGGCGGACTTTTCCTTTAATGAACATGAGGTGTCCCTCCTTATCTCATCTGATTAGTTTTGGTTTAAAATCTATTTTTTCAGATATTAGAATAGCTACATCTGTTTGTTTTTTTATTCCATTTGCTTGAAATACCTTTTTTCCATCCTTTTCCTCTAAGGTAGCAACTATCATTGTTGATGAGGTATGTTTCTTAGAGGCAGCAAAAAGATGATTCTTGTTTTCCAATCCAGTTGATTAGTCTCTATCATTTGGGGGAATTGAGGCCATTAATATTCAGTTATTAATTCTTGTCATTTTGTTGGTTTTACAGTGTTTTTTCAGATCTCTTTTGATTACCTGTCTGGGCATGGTTTATTTGTTCCATATGACCACTTGAGTGTGTTTGTACTTCTGGTCAGATTCAAGTATTTCTTATAATATGATCTGTAAAGCTGAATTAGTAGTCATAAATTCTTATAATTTTTAAATTTGTCCTTCAATTTTAATAAATAGCTTTGCTGAGTATAATAGTCTAGATTGACAGTTGTAGTCTTTCAGGACTTGGAACACATCTTTCTGTGAGCTTCTGGCTTTAAAGATATCTGTTGAATAATCAAGTGCTATTCTAATGTGCATGCCTTGACAAGTGAGTGCATCTTTCTCTCTTTCAACTTTCAATAACTTTTCTTTATTCTGTGTTTTTGGTGTTTTGACTATAATATGTCATGTATAATTTCTTTTCTGGTCCTCTCTATTTGGGGTGCTGTAGGGCTCTTCTACCTGGATGAACATCTCTTTCTCTAGGTTTGAGGAACTTTCTTCTATGATTTTACTGAAGATATTTTCTATGATTTCACTATGGTATTCTCCTCCTTCTCTACCCACAATTCAAAGGTTAGATCTTTTCATCATGTTCCAAAACTCATTCTTGTTCTTTTCATATATTTTTAAAACTTTCTCATTGAGCTTTACTGCAGTCCAGTTCCTCTTCTTTCTTCCACCTCTGATGATCTACCTTTAACCTGATTCATCTTTTAGTGATGCTTTTCACTGAGGTTTTTATTTGACTTATTAGCTTTTCATTTCTAGCATCATTTCAGTGTGGCTTTACTTCAGCACCTCCATCTCTGTTTGCATTACTTGGACTGACTTCCTTATCCCATTCATCTCTTTGTCCGTGTCATCTCTCAGTTATTTGACTGTAGCTACAATTGTTCTTTGGAATTCTTTGCCTTGAACTTCTTCCAGGACATTTTTATTAGGGGTCATTATTATGGGATTTTTTGGAGGAGAGATACTATTTTGATTTTCCATGTTTTTATTCTGTGTGGAATTTGTACATCTGGAGTTAACTTATTGTTTGAGTTTTTCTTTCTTTCTTTTTGCTCAAGTCAAGTAGAGATGTTTACAATGTTCAAGGAGGGGCTGCTTCAATTGGAATGTCAATTTCCTGTTTAACTGGTAATTAGGGCTATAGCTTCCATTCCTAAGTTTTCTACTTGACAGCTATAGTCTGGTGCCCATGGTGGCCTGGTCAAGGAACTTGGAACAGGTTTTCCCTGGCAGTGTGGACTGATCCTGTATCTCAAGTTTGGATGGAACAACTGGAGGATCCCAATCAGGTAGCTAGCAGGGCTCTGGTGAGTTCTGAAGTGAGGGAGAATCCGGGGTTTCCTGGAAGTTGGAAGAGTCCCCAGTGGGTATTGGATTGGGGCTTGGCAAATTGCAAAGGGAAGGAGAGTGACCAGGAGGAGGTGGCAGTCTGGCCAGTGGAGGCTTCAGGGCCTTGGGGCTGCATGCAGCCTACCTGGTTCTCTGGGCCATGTGGTGCCACTGGAGAGTCCCTGGTGGGGAGAGGGTTCTAAGGTATTTTTAATCCATTTTAGTTTTGATTTGCATTTCTACTAAATATTTTTGCTCTCTGTCCTACCATATGGCTTATTTAGAGCATCTTACAATAGTCTGTTTTAAGCCCATCTTAATATGAATCCATGTAATCTAGCTCTGAAATTGCTTCCAGGGTTTTCTGTGATATGGGACTGTAGTGTAGTGGGCTCCCTGGGAAACAACATAGGATGTCAAGGGAACTGAATGATTATCTCTGGTTGTCTTTTCCCCCTGTACAAATTGTGTGCCTGGGGAGAGCTCTGTAGAGAATTGTACCGACTTGGGAGAAGTAGAGGCATGGAAATTTATGTGAAAAATAGTGGGACTTGGCACTTCCTGACCCACCATCTTGCCCCAGTCTTACTTTTTTCAATTACCTGAATTAAAAGTATTTTATATACTTCCATCAACATGCATGTCTACTCAGCATCGTTATTTACTTTCACTGCTTATAATCATTAACCAAAATTTTGCACTAAAAATATTTTGTTGCTGTTTTATCAGAAGTGAAGTTGAACTTGGTTACTTTTTACATGTTTATAAATTTGACTATATATGTTTGAGTATATGTCTTTTTTCCCCCTTACCTGGATGACACTAGTTATTTTTTGAACACACTGTGTTTTCTTTTATTTGGTCATTTGTCTTTTAACTTTAGTTGTGGTGCCTGACTTTTCACATGACTCTTAATTTTATGAGGAAAAGAGGATAAATACCACACTTATCTCTCATTTTCTACTTCATGTGTTTCACCAAGATCGAAATGACAGTGTGTATATTCATCAGTAGCTGCTGCTTTATTTTAAATGAGTCAGAATATTTTCTGACATTTGGCTATTTTCATTTGATGTTTGCTTAGAGTATTTGTTTTCTTAAAATTTAATTTTATGACAACAGCATATAATATGAAAGCATCTATTACATGTCTTTCATTTTTACCTTCATCTAACTCAGCAAGGGTAAAACAGGAGCACTTAGAGGTCTATGAGCAGTGATATTTTTAGTGACTTAGACATTATTCATTTTCATCTTCTTATTCTTACTTTAGAAGTCTCCCATCAAAATATACTGTATTCCTATCATGAAGAAAGAATATTATACTGTTGAAACAGTATCTTAAAGGAATTTTTATTCGTTTGTGTATGCACACAAATCTCTGTTGGAGTTCTCCATCTAGAGCTACTGAGTGAAGACCATGAAGGGGGAGTGCTTGTAGATCATCGTGCTGCCTGGAATGGCTGCCGCATACTCACATCATCACATGCTTGCTGAGTTTTGTCTTCTATGGAAAGGCAGCTTTACATGGAGAGTGAAAAGATGGTTTGGGATGAAATTCTGAAAATCTCAGAATCCTAGTAGCCATGTCCAAGATTTAAAAGAACAAAACAAAAACAAAACTACTCTGGCCTGGAGAGATGGCTCAACTGTTAAAAGCTCTAGGTTCTCTTCCAGAGAACGTGGGTTTAGTTCCCAGCACCCATGGCAGCTAACAACCATTTTATCCAGTTCCAGAGCATCTGACACCCTCTCTTCTGGCCTCATTGGACACTTACATATATGAGGCAAAACACTCATACACATAAAATAAAAATAAATAAATAAAATATTTAAAAAACTGTTCTATTGACAAAGGAACAACTTTTCAGGGGTAGTTTAGGTCTGAGGCCCAGTACTAGCTTCTAGACCATAGACGTCTATGACAGATACAGTGCAGGACTAACTTCCATTTTGCTGATGTGTTGCTTTCCTTAGGTACTGAGGTATCTGAACAGATATCCCTAAAAGTGCCAGCAAATGTAGTAGAGGATTCTGCCCGAGCCTCTGTCTCAGTTTTGGGTAAGTGTCTACTCCCTAGAGGATTTGGATACTAACAACTGCTGCTGTATACCTTTTCAATAAGTATATATCCAAAACAGCAAATAGACGCTGGTGTGGTAGCCTATACCTGCAATCCTGGCACTTCAGACACTGAAGTAGGAGGATGAAAAGTTTGTGGCCAGCCTAGGCTACATAGCAAGATCGTGCCTTAAACTCTTAAATAAATAAATAAATAAATAAATAGATGGAAAATATAGTTTTAACTGCTTTCTTCTTTGGGCTTGTGCATTGCTTCCCGTAATCCTTCTATCTCTGGACTACATCCTTTCTAAAATTACTCATTTTTTAATAGCTCAACTAATTGCTCACTTCTTTTTGATATTTCAGATATAGTCTAACTTCATAACATTTTGTCTCTAGGAGATATATTGGGTTCTGCCATGCAGAACACACAGAGCCTCCTCCAGATGCCTTATGGCTGTGGAGAGCAGAATATGGTTCTGTTCGCGCCTAACATCTATGTCTTGGATTATCTAAATGAAACACAGCAACTGACTCAGGAGACCAAGTCCAAGGCCATCAGCTACCTCAACATGGGTGAGTTTTGACTGAGGTAGTGAAAGTTTATAGTTATTTCAGTTGGATTGCCCAATAATATTGAGCTATTTATCATTACTATTATATATTATCCCACTGTGATAGAAAATACTAGGATGGTTTATTTTTAAATATTTCTATTTATTTATTTTTTTACTTTGTGTGTATTGCCTGCATATATGTAAATATACTCATGTCGTGCAATGCCCATTGTCAGAAGAAGGCATCAGGTTCTCCAGAACTGGAGTTGCAGATGTTTGTTAGCTGCCATGTGGGTGCTGGGAATTGATCCCGGGTCTGCTGCAAGAGCAGCCAGTGCTCTTAACCACTGAGCTATCTTTCCAGCCCTAGGATGGTGTATTTCATGAAACTATCTACTCTTCAGTCTTAAATAAAACCTTCAGGACTCAGAACATGCTCACATATGACAGAAAAAATATGAAAGGTCAAAAGAGATGCCCAGACAGTTTTTAAGTAATTTCTCTGGCTTCTACGAGTACTTCAATCTGCTATGTTGTTTTATTTATATTTATATTATTTTATTTCCATTACAGGTTACCAAAGGCAGTTAAACTACAAGCACCAAGATGGTTCCTACAGCACCTTTGGGGAGAAGCATGGCAGGAGACAGGGCAATACCTGGTAAGGAAAGGACAATTTCTTGAGCTCTTATTTTGTGCTAAAACTTTTTCATTTGTTACCCCAATTATATTCAAAGCAACTCTATCACTCTCACTCAGGCTCACAGCCTTTGTACTGAAGAGTTTTGCTCAGGCTCGAAAATATATCTTCATCGATGAAACACACATCACAGAAGCTCTCCACTGGCTCTCTCAGAAACAGAAGGACAATGGTTGTTTCAGGAGCTCTGGGTCCCTGCTCAACAATGCAATAAAGGTGAGTCATTCAAGAGCTGGTTATCCACTATGAAACAGAGAGAGGAAATGATGGGGTAGAAATTCCAAACAGAAGGCAACAGAGGACAGCTAAATCTAGAAAGTGCTAAGAAAAGGGGAATAGGGTTAAACTGATTGTGGTGTCTTGTCCTGGGTAGGGGAGGGTGGGTGTTAAAAAAAGATAAACTCCGTGACACAGCAGACTAGAAATAACTAATGTATAGCATTCTCGGAGCTAAAAGTACTCAAATCTCTTCTTTCACGTTCATAGGGAGGAGTAGAAGATGAAGTCACCTTGTCTGCTTACATTACCATTGCTCTTTTGGAGATGCCTCTGCCAGTCACTGTAAGGAGCGCTTCGTCATTCCCTTTAAAAGGTGGTTCTGGATGCAGCAAACCCACTGACCTGTTGTTTGCAACACTGGCTTCCTGAAAGCCAAGTGTCAGCTTTCCTTTTGTACAGTGTAAACACTTCTCAGATCAGTGAAGAATTTGTTCAATCCAAAAAGGAAGGTTTCACTTTTTTTCAAGTATCAGTGTGATTTCTCTTCTACCAACATTCCCATCCTATAAAGAATCTCAGAGATGGTTAATCTCAGATTTGGTTCATAGTCGATTTTAAATCTTTGCTTTATTCTTGAGAATTTCATATAGTTATACAGTGAAATGTGACCATACCTACTACCCCATTTCCCCATTCCAATCCTCCATAGTCTCCAGAATGTTTCTCTCCCAACTTCATGTCTTTTTTAATATAACCCACTAAGTCCGTTTAGTGCTGCCCATATGTGCATAGGTGGGACCATCCACTGGAGCATGGGAAATCTACCAGTGCCCACATCTCAAAAAAAGAACAATTCTCCGTCCCACAGAAACTATCAATTGCCAATAGCTCCTCAGTGAGGGGTGGGGCCTGGAGATTATCCACCCTGTGTATGCCAGGATTTTGGCTGGCTTGATCTTGTGCAGGTATCCACAGCTGCTGTCAGGTCATGAGTATGACAGCCAGAAGACAGCATGTCACAGCACTCCTTCCCATCCTCTGGCTCTCATTCTTTCTGCTTCCTTTTCTGTGATGTTCCTAAGCCTTGGTAGGGCTGTTATTCCTTCTAGGTATGAGAATAATTTGAAAACCTTCCGTATCTCCAGCGCTACTTCCGTGTGCTTACCTGGATCTTAGTACCTCTGTTCACATAGCTCAGTTTCCTTTCTTTTCTTTCACAGCATCCTGTTGTCCGCAGTGCCCTCTTTTGCCTGGATACAGCATGGAGATCGGCAAAAGAAAGACCCCATGGTAGCCATGTCTACACTAAGGCACTGTTGGCTTATGCATTTGCTCTTGCTGGCAATCAGGAGAAGAGAAAGGAAATATTGAAATCACTTGATGAGGAAGCTGTGAAAGAAGGTAAGAAGAACACACCTGAGATTTCTCTTGCCCAACATTCTGTCCATGACTGTAATGCAAAGTCTCCCTATTGCTGTCTATTTTTCCTGTATTCTCTACTGTTCTGTCTGTCTGTCTGTCATCTATCCATCCATTCATCTATCTCATCTCATATTTTTTAATCTGGAATTCCTCACTAAAATTGGATATCAAAAATAAGAGGCAACAGGTGTAGCAATGAGAGATGCTCAGCCTTGGAGGCTGGCTCCAAAATGTGACCTTGGGCAAGTCATCAAGCTGCTGGTGTTTCAGTTCCTTCATCAGTAAACAGGGTTAATACTTGTTTTATAGTCATATTAAATGAATTAATACATATATGTACATAAAACACTTAGTGGAGTATTTGGCACCTGGTGAGTGTTATAAATAAACTAGTTGTAATTATTTATTACTAAGACATCAGTTCCTAATCTATGCCTAACCCTTACTCAGTGATCTCATGAACAAATTCTGATATTTTATCTCATTTCACAATACCAGTCATGTTGATCAATCTTTTCACATTTACACATTGTTTTTGCTTATATCATGGCCTATATGAGAAGATGAAGAAATATAAAATACAATGCAGATAGATGTTCAGTAATATGGATTCTATCTAATTGATGGTGCCATTAAATGTTTTCAGCATTTTGAGAAATATTTCAGATCGTTCAAAAGGCACAAAGAATAATTGGAAAATAAGCTATATAACTTAACCCAGGATAAGAAATAAAGTATCCCCCATGTGTAAGCATTTTATGTTTCATTCCCGCCTCCAGAGGTTAACATTATCTTGAATGGGTCATTGCCTTTTCCATGGATTTCTTTACACACACACACACACACACACACACACACACACATCACATATGTACTTCTAAATTATATTCTTAATTTCATAAATTTTTCATCTTTATATATGCAACATCATACTTTTCCTTATTTTAGAAGCTTATTTGCCTTTTATTTTTTTAAGTTCAAGATTATGCAAATGAGCCTTCGTAACAGTGCAAGAAACTTCAGTTTATAATTTTCTTCTTTCTTTTTATTGAGAGACAGTCTTGCTGTGTAGCCTAGGCTAGCCTTAAACTCACAATTTTCCTACCTTTCTCTCCAAAGTCTTGGAATTGCAGACATACACCACCATGTCAGGCTTCTTCTTGTGTTTTGCTAATGAAACAGTTCTGAGGTGAATTGCAGGTACCTGTCTCCTTATCATGTTCCAGTTTCTCCATGTTATGCTTCTAGAAGTAATGACTAACTCTACACTAGGTACCTCTTCTCCTTTCCTAAATGTTGACAGATTGCTCCCCCAAAGTCCCGTTTTCCAATATCCACGTCAGCTTTGTGCATTTTAACGACAGCAATATTTTTTGTTGTGGTTTGCAATCTAATGAGTATAAACTCTTGTTATTTACTATGATCTGTGGTATTTACAAGAAGCCTCTGAGGACAGGCTTCACAGGAAATCTAACCTATTCTAGATAAGCTCTAGATAACATCTGAAACAAGGAATACCCACAACCAGTGAGAGAACTCCTTCTGGTTTACTTTCTCATACTATACAACCGTGATTATTTGAAGTCATAGAGGGTTAAAGACCCTGTAGCCTCTACCAACATTATCTGCCTTGGCTCTATTGAAGCATGTTAAATCCTGATTTATATTGAAGGGAAATCATCTCTGTTGGGGTTTGAAATATTGCAGTTGGAGGGCAATCCTCGCTTCAGCTCTGGCTTGACTGTTTTAAAATAATTAAATATAAACATTCAGCCACTTATAAATATCATTTACTCACCTCCCAGACGATTCTATCCACTGGACAAGACCTCAGAAACCCAGGGCACCAGAGGGTCTCTGGTACCAACCCCAGGCTCCCTCTGCTGAGGTGGAGATGACTGCTTATGTGCTCCTTGCTCACCTCACTGTCCAGCCAACCCCGACCCAAGAGGACTTGACAGCTGCAGTCCCCATCGTGAAGTGGATCACAAAGCAGCAGAATTCCCATGGCGGCTTCTCCTCCACCCAGGTTGGTGATTTGCCAGAACATTTTATTTCACATTCAGTTAGCAAAAGGGTTGTAGGCAATAAATATACATGTAACAAGAAAAACTAAAGATGACAATAACTTGAGGGATCATTAGCACAGAGGGATGATGAGAAGTATTTCAGACAGCTAAAAAAGAAAGCACTTAGACCTGACACCCCATCCATCTCTACATCACCATGTCTACTAGTTTCAATAACAAAGTCTGTCTCCCTACAGGAGTACTGGGGCACCAGCAGGATGAAGGGAAAAAAAAATATCCTACCATTCCTCTGAAAATCTAAGAATCTCTTTTGAACTGTTAATAGGAACTCTCCTTAAAATTCAACAGTATCACCAGGCATGGTGACGCATGCCTTTAATCCCAGTATTCAGGAGACAGAGGCAGGTAGATCTCTGTGAGTTCGAGGCCAACCTGGTCTACATAGTGAGTTCCAGGCCAGTTGGGGCTACGTGGAGACCCTGTCTCAAAAAATGAAATTCAACAATCTCTTGGAAACATGTCCATTCTTAGGTCTATGTTTAATGTAGGCACAGTTTATGGTCTCCAGCCACCTTTTAATTCAGACATTTGTTTAGTAGGAACATGAAAGACTGCCTTTACTCATCCAATCTCAAGCTAACTATATATTCATATATCTAAACAGTTTATCCGTATGAGCCCGGTGGTTTTATGTTCAGAGAATGTGGATGTTAGTATTCATACACTGGGAGAGAGAAAGGAATGCAACAAAATGATAATCCCATCCTTTTGCATTGTATTTAGTCTCCTTTTCCATGTGAAGGGAAAATTGTAATGGTTTTATTAAAAATGACCTTCATTTATCTCTTATAAATCTATTATTTAAAACGTGTCCTCCCATCTCAGTATGAGTAAGACTGAGAATACGGCACAGCAAGGGGAGTGTGGGCATAGGTGACCCTCGAATGGAAGGGGAGCTGAGTGAGAATGTCAGCAAGTCAAGAGGATGCTTGTAAGAGTCAGCTTTCATTTCTTTGGAGAAACTGAGGCATGACCTTGAGCACAGTTAGAAAAGGACACTGAAACTCATCAGTAGAGTTTAATTTGGGAAGAAGGCTGGACCAAGCTCTGGCTAGGGAGCAGCAGAGATGGCCACAGTCATCCAAAAGGACATTGAAGGTAGATAGCTGATGCTAATAAAAGTTTTCCCATTTATACATGTTTTCTACATCCTGTATCTCACATATATAGAAAGGAAGATCAATTTTCTGATTGACTTCTAGGACATACAGTCCAAGGCGTGTATGTGACTGTTGTGATTCTGTCATATACCTGAAGATTATCTATCTTGAAATCAAAGCTTCAGTATTTAAGTGAAGATAATGTAAAATAGGAAATCTGCCCCCACCCCCGCAGCTAACTTAGGACTTAGAAAAGTATTTTCACCCTTGAAGAGTTTTTATGCCACTATTAGTGCAATTTTCCTTACTGTAATAAAATATCCAAGACTGAGTCTATAAAGGAAAGGGGCTGATTTAGCTTACAGTTTTTGATATTGAAAGTCCAGGCTCTGGAGAGAGCTGCCCTGCCTGTTGGCTTCATTGCCTCATGGAGGATGGCAGTGGAGGGAACTTATGTTGGAAGATGTTGTGTCTCAAAACAGGAAGCCAGAGGTCTGTGCAGAGGAACAGTTTTTATTTTTATAACAATCCACTCACAAGTATCGACTTAATCCCTTCCAGGAGCAATGCTGTCAATGATTTCAGGACTTTCTGCTAGGCTTGATCTCACCTCCCAGTACTTGGAGACTTAAACTTCAGACTTCTGAGAGAGAAACCATTTTCACATCATAGCAATTCCTGAGTGGGTTCTTTTCCTCCTCTCTTTCAGGACACAGTGGTGGCTCTCCATTCGTTGTCCAAATATGGAGCATGTACCTTTACAAGGAGTAGGAAAGCTGTCCAGGTGACCATCAGTTCTTCAGATGCATTTTCTCCAAACTTCCAAGTGGACAACAACAACCGCTTGTTACTACAGCGAGTCTCATTGCCAGCTGTGCCTGGGGAATACAGTGTGAAAGCGACAGGAGAAGGCTGTGTCTACGTCCAGGTAAGACTTGGGCAGAAGAGGACAGAGGGTCACAGTAACTGTTCTTCCAGTAAAGTCCTAACTCAGCAAGTCAGAGAAAAAGTTGAGGGATTGAGAAGAATTCTGAGGAAAGGAGAAACAGATTTTCGTCTTTAATTTTTCATAGACATCTTTGAAATATAACATTCTCCCTGGAAAGGAGGTGTATCCCTTTGCTTTAGAGGTGAAGACTCTGCCCCAAACTTGTGATGGACCCGAAGCTCACAAAAGCTTCCAGGTCTCCCTTAATATCAGGTAAGACCTTCTGCTCATTCTCCTAACTCTGAGAGGAAAAAAATAATCTTCTTACTGGAACTTCTTACTAACCAAAGCTGTTGTATAGTAAACACGTGGGCTACATCTATTTAAAAATCAACATATTCTTTTAAGTTGGTATGGTAGAGTTTCTCAATGACTGGTTTTACGTTGCTCATCACTTGTCTCCAGGACCTATTCATGTTCAACCTCATTATTTAAAATTAACACTTCTGTGAAATAATTACTTACTCCTGATAGTAATTAAATAAGAAATATTTCCCCCTGCCTATTGTTTGAGTTCCTTCTATGTAATAAAATCCTATATTAATCTTGGTCTGTTCTTCACAGAGGAAATAATTCTTGAAAGACTTAAATAGAAGGCACTGGTACCTCTTTAGTTGTAATTCACACTAGCAACAAGTAAATCTGATGATACGCAATATACTCGGTTTTGCACAACAATATACATGGATATAGCAATGTTCAAGTAGCTGCAGGACTTACAAAAATGTATCTGTCTACAAAACCATTGTAACTTGATTGGCTATACTATTTAGGAAAACAGTTAGGATAATGTGTGCATTAGTAAAAACGCAGTGTATATTAGAGGTCTTAAGCGTACGTTTTACTTGTAGGGCTCTCTTGAAACACAGATCTCAGAATCCACCTCCTTAAAACTGATTCTCGTCTCATCATTGTGGATTTATTAGGTTCTATAAAAATTTTAATCCACAGCCAGTCTTCTAAAGCTACTGAGATAGAATATTTGGGAAGTTTTAGATGTATCTTATAGAGCTACTGAGTGCTTAATGTAGACATAGAAAAAGAAAATAGAAGATTTAATAATACAGAAAATAAACCCTAATTCTTCCTTCCCTGAATCTTCAGTTACACAGGGAGCCGTACCTCCTCCAACATGGCGATTGCAGATGTGAAGATGGTGTCTGGATTCATCCCTTTGAAACCAACAGTGAAGATGGTATGTTTGCTATAAGCCCAGGATACCACATTTTAGTCCATGTTTTATGCATCCCCAGACCAAGAAAAGACTTACATTAAAATGCTGTTAAATCGAGTCATAAAGACTTATGAATCCTCCAAACTAACTCTGTAGCACCAGTGAGTGTGTTTGTGTGAGTGCCACCATGTGCACTCATGTGAAACATAACAACTGCAGGGGAAACGTGTCAATAGTTTTCTGCTTGCATGGAGTTTATGGAGATAAAGCACATGAATGAACATGATCCAGTGAAATAATATGAAAATGACTGATTGACAGAAACTTCTGTATTACACAAGTTAAAGAAAAAATGAGATCGCATCAAATTAGAGGAAGCAAAAAAGAAAAAAAGAAAACTTCATGAGAAATATAACAGAATTTGAACCTTAAAATAAGAGTAATTCCCATATTTAGAACATTTAATTTCCCTTCCTTCAGATAAATCAACTTTACAAATGTGTTATACGCCATATTAATCATGTGCCCTTCATCTGAATTACCTATCATTGTCACTGCATTATATTTTTATTAATAAGGGACCTTTGAAGAAATTTTACCCCAGGATATTTGATAATAAAAATCCTCTCTGAGTTATCCAGGGGTTTCATCTATCTGTTAACTCTTGCTGTATCTTAATTTTCCTCAGCTTGAAAGATCAAACCGTGTGAGCCGGACTGAAGTCAGCAACAACCATGTCTTGATTTACTTGGATAAGGTAAGAACCCTGCAAGTCTGGGTGCAAAAAACATAGAGAATAATCTCTAGAGAAGCATCTAGAAAGAATGTATTTTTAGAAAGCTCACCTCCACGCTGGAAATAGAATTCTAAGACTCCAGTGACTGGTCTCTCTGTTGACATTTCATCTGAGATTAGGAGAAATGCCATACTCTATCATGAGGATGTGAACACTTCTAGGGCCCTATAAGTAAGAAATTATCCATAAAATGTTTCATTGTGTCCAAGATTAGCTTGAAGATGCTGAATAATGTGGGGAAGTAGTTTACTGTGATTATCAGTTACTATATCACCATCCTCATTAACAATATAAAAGGTAAAAATACTGCCGAGCTCAGCAAGGACTTGGACTACACAACAGTCCAGCAGTCCACCAATGGACCAATAGGATTGCATAACAGTTATTTATGCCTCTCTTGATAGGAATTACAGTTCACAAATATTATGGAAGTTAACCAAAGCTGCAATGATCAGTCTCTTATAGACTTCTTTGAATCAATATCAGTAGTTTTAAAAGATGGGAAGACAAAACTGTATCAAATCTCTGGATATTTAAAGCAGACTTAGGTAGTAAACAAAAAGCACATGTTATTTCCCCTGTGAACAAAGCTATACTGATGAAAACCTATAATGTGTGTTAGTTATTTTAGGAGTAATTTGGGCAATTTCCCATTTACTCTTAGGGCTTTTTACTCTATGCAGTGTGCTGTTAGGTGATAAAGCCCCAACCCCAAGAAACCCTAATTAATACATTATTATTAATCTATTTAAGGAGAAAAAATTTAAGCTCCCAGGAAAGCCATTTAACTCCCTTTTGATTTCTAGGTGTCAAATCAGACACTGAACTTCTCCTTCATGGTTCTGCAAGATATTCCAGTGAGAGACCTGAAACCAGCTATAGTGAAAGTGTACGATTACTATGAGACAGGTAAGCGTAACTTTAACATAGTAAATTCCTGAGCACAGAAATTTTGATGTAGGAAATGTGTCAGGAGACTTCATTTTGTCTCCATCAGGGTTGATACTCAACTTCTGTTTCCTATACTTACATGGAAAACAATGCATTTTATTTTGATTTTTTAAAAAATATTTTATTTATTTTTTATGTGTATGAGTGTATTGCCTACACGTATGTGAGTGCACCTGTGTCATGCAATGCAGAGGAAGTCAGAAGAGGGCTTCCAACTCCCCTGGAACTGGAGTTAAGGACGGTTCACAGCTGCCATGTGGGTGCTGGGAATTGAGCCCGGGTCCTCTGCAAGAGCAGTCAGTGCTCTTAACTGCTGAACCTTATCTCTCCAGTCCCTTATTTTGATTTTTAAAAATATTTTGTTATTTTTATTTTATGTGTATGAGTATATTAACTGCATGCATGTAAGGGCACCCATATCATGCAATTCCCACATAGGTCAGTAGAAGATGAGGGTTGTTAGCTGCCATGTAGGTGCTGGGAATCGAACCCAGGTCCTCTGCAAGAGCAGTCAGTGCTCTTATCCACTGAGCTGACTCTCCAGCTCCAGAAACTACATTTTAAATTATCAACTACTGGGGTTGGAGAGATGGCTCAGCAGTTAAGAACACTGAATGTTCTTGCAGAAGACCTGGGTTCTAATCCCAGCACCCACATGGAAGCTAATAACTGTCCGTAAGTCCAGTTCCAGGGGATCCAACAGCCTCTTCTGACCTCCTCGGGCATTGCACGACACGGGAGCACTTACCTACATGCAGGCAATACACGCATACACATAAAATAAAAATTAAAAAAATTAAAATGTTTAAAAAATAAATTGTCGACTACTATAGAATAGTTATCTTCTGACGGATAAACCACTTGTAGGGCAATGCAAGATTTAGGAATGTGCAACTGAACTGTCAGGAATTTGGGGCAAAGGAAAATGCAGTACACTGTCTTTAGTTTGATGACCGAAGGCCATGGACATTTCTGATGCAATTGCAGATGCCTTCATTGATGTATGACTTCCCTTCACATAATGGCTTTTGCTTCTGTTTTCTTTTATTCTGCAGATGAGTTTGCAGTTGCAGAGTACAATGCTCCTTGTAGCAAAGGTAAGCAGTTCACATTCCTTCAATATATAATCAGAATTCCTCTGGCATATCTCCTAAATTTCCTCCTCCATTCTTCCTGCATATTCATCTTTTGCTCATATTGGACGTTATTATAGAAAAAACACTGTGTATTAGACAAGACCAATACCTCTGTCAAACCTCAGCTAGTTCACTAGGCTACTCATTGGATAATTATCTGTAATAGATCTCATTTCCTCCTGTACTCATTGGGTTCCTGTGGATGCTCTGCTATCCAGATTTACAACAGGGATATTCTTTGCTCATGGAAATTCAAGTCCAATTTAATTGTCTTTTTTTCCCATTACCACAGATCACGGAAATGCTTGAAGACCATGTGAATGAAAATGAATCACTGTTTTGCTGGAACTTCACAAGAAAAATAGTTTTTTACTCCCAAAGATTTGATAAATAAACCATTTTACTTATCAGTCTATTACCGTCCCATCATTCATTCAATAATCACCTTTTGCATTTCCATAATTCCAGATCCAATCCAGAGAAAAAAGCTAACAAAAATCAGGAGCAGAGGTATTTCAGAACACCAAAACTGTTACAGTGATATTGGTCTGAATAGGCTTCATGTGGGTGAGGGGCAAAGTATTGAATCATACCATAGAAGAAAGTAGTTTATTTGGCCATAGTGACACCTCAAGGAAGAGCCAAAGACTGGCTTGACAAGAGAAGACTTTTCACATTAAATGGAAGTGGTGAAATATAAAGTTGGGCATGTTTTAATGGGAAAAGTCATCCTGACCTGCTTGGGAATTATGGGGCTATGCTAAAATAGAAGCTTTCAGGGAGAAGTAAGAATGATCAAACCCCTAACCTTTGCTCTCAGATTCAATAATGGATGGCAGACTACAATTATGATACATGACGAAGCATGTGTTCTCAGAAGAAATAATATATATGACTCAAAAGACCAAATGGAAATGATATGCTAGAGCACCTCACATTTTCTAAATCGCTGAGTCAGGATGAGGGTTATGTGACACAAAGTCAAGGAGGCGTTTAGATGCAGAAGTCAGAGTTCTTACAACATCTAGTCTCTTCCTACATGTGCTCTTCCCATTTATTATTTTATTTATCCTGAATTCAACATTTAAGTCACATGAAAGGGTACGCAGAAGCTTTTGGGAGTTTGTAGGAAAATCGAAGAAAGGAATTTAAGACAGGAGAATTCAGAGGTAAGAGATTCTGGAGGTGATCCTAGCAATCCCAGTCTTAATTTGGCTTCAGAATGACAGTATTTAAAATGACAGAGTTGAGGGATGCATTAGTTTTATCTCCACTCCTTGTTCTACTATGTTCCATGAGTGTTCTAGTTCATTTCTCCATTGCTGTGACAAAACACTCTAATACCAACGTGGGGAGGCTAGGGTTTATTTAGGTTACATCTCCTGGATCACGGTTCATCAGGGAGCCCAAGGAAGGAACTCGGGAGGAACCTGGAGCAGGAGCTGGAGCACAGGCCATGGAGGAACGCTGCTTACTGTCTTGATTTCCTGGCCCCTGCTCAGCCTGCTTTCTTATACAACATAGGCCCACCTGCCAGAGGTGGCACCACCCACAGTGGGCTGGGCCCTCCCATATCACTTAAGAACAAGAAGATGCCCCACAGACAGCCATAGCCCAGTCCAATGGAGCCAATTCACCAATTGAGGCTCCCTCTACCCAGGTGTGTCAAGTTCACAACTAAAGCTATCCAGCACAATGAGTTTTAGGTGTAGAGGTTCAACTACAGATGTGTCACCTAGGACTGGGCATCTCTCAGACGTACATTCTCTGTGTCTGACCAGTTGTGGAATTCTGCAGTAGTCTCCATCTGTTGCAAAAAGAAGCTTCCTTGATGAGTGGTGGGTATGCTTGTATGTAAATATAAGGATCCATATTTAGCATATGATAAGAAATTTCATTTGTCTAGACACATGACAGAGATAGGGCCTTCTCTATGATCTATGCCCTCTCCAGGCACACGCATTTGGCAGAGGTCACAGTGCCACCCATGAGTTCACTCCCATCCTGAGGGCCCCTAGATGGCTGTTGTTTACCCCCAAATATCAGTGCCAAAACTGTACCAATAGAGATAGTTTGTCCTGCTAGCAGTTATGGTTATTAGGCTCTAAGACTGGGTTGGATCATTGATTGACCATCTCCCTTAGGAGTTTGCATTTATTATCTACAATTATAAGAATTAAACTTCAGGTGGAAGACTTCCAGGTCAGTTCTTGCTCCATTGCTCCAAGTCCTGTATCGGAAGTATTACATTTTTAAAAAGTGTCCGCTTTTCATATATATATATATATGTCTTAGTTTGTTTCTCCATTGCTGTGACAAAACACTCTGACCACTACCAGCTTGGGGAGGAAAGGGTTTGTCTTACATCTCCCAGGTCACAGTTCATTAGGGAGACCAAGGTAGGAACTCAGGGCAGGAACCTGGAGGAGGAGCTGGAGCACAGGCCACACATATATCCACACAGACCAGAAAATGTCAGATCCCCTGGAACTGGAGTCATGAATGGTTGTTATCTGCCATGTGGGTGCTGGGAACTGAACCTGGGTCATTTGCAAGAGCAGCCAGTGCTCTTGATCATTGAGTCCTCTTTCTAGCCCATGGTTTTTAGTTTTTTACACTGTGATCAGATTGAGTATGACAAGACATTATTTCAGTTGTCATATTTGTTGATTTTTTTATGTCTTAATAGTCCATTTTAGAGAAAGTTGCTGAGAAGAAATTGTAATTTGCAGTGACTCAAATGTCTGGTTAAGTACTTAATACAAAATTTCAATATCAATAATGTCATTTAACACTGATATTTCTGTGTTGATTTTCTGTATGAATGACCATCATTGAGGGTGAGTTATTGGCGTCACCAACTGTAATTGTGTTGAGACTCACCTGTTCCCAGGAGTATTTATTTTATAAAATTGTTTGCGCAATATTTGGTGCATACATGTTTAGAATTACTATGTACACTTTATAGATTGCTTCCTTAATTAACGTGAAAGACTTTTGTCTCTTCTGTTTACTTTTTATTTGAGGCCTGCTTTGTCAGAAATTTTATAGTTTTCCTGGTTGGTTTTGAATTCTGTTTGAAATATTTTTCTATTCTTTCACCCTACAATTGTATTAGTCTTTAAACATTTTTTTGCAGGAAACAAATGGTTGATTCTTTTAGTGCAATCTACTAGTCTTTGTGCCCTTTGGGGAATTTAGATCATTACCATTCAGAGTTATTAATTAAACATATGTTTAATTAATTTTTACTTTGTGATGTTTGTCAAGTTCTGAAACTTTATTTACCTACCTATATCTTCTAGCATAATTTATTCTAACCTGTGACCCCACAAGTGGGTTTACTTTTTCAGTGTGTAGTATTCCTTCAGTCATCTTCTATTTTCCTGGTTTATTTGTCATGTATTTCTTTATCATGGAAGGTTTTTACTTATTCTTCAATTATGAGGGCAGCTTTACTGGATATAGTAATCTAGATAAGCAGTTGTTTTCTTTCAGGGATTGGAGTGCATCATTCCATTCCCCCTTGATTTTTAGAATATCAGTTGAGAAATACACTGTTATTCTGATGAATTTGTCTTGATAGGTGACTTGGAGCTTCTCTTCTGCAACATTCAATATTCTTTGTGCTGTGGACTCAGTGTTTTAACTATGATATGATGTATGGAAGTTCTTGTCCAAGTTAGCTTTTGATTTCTGTGATAAAACACTGACCAAAACCAAGTTGAGGAGGAGAGGGTCTATTTGGCTTACACATCCCCATCAGTTTAGCATTGGGGGAAGCGATGGCAAGGGTTCAGGGCAGGAACCTGGAGGCAGGAACTGAAGCGCAGATCATGGAGGAATGCCGCTCACTGGCTTGCTCCTTTTGGCTGTGTTCACTCTGCTTTCTTATACAACCCAAGACCACCTGCCCAAGGGTAGCACCACCCACAGTGGGATGGGCTCTCCCACATCATTTAACAATCAAGACAATACCTCAGGGGTATACCTTAGGCCAATCCAATAGAGGAAATCCCCCAACTGATCTCTCTCTTCCCAGGTGTGTCAACGTTGACAACAGAAGCTGTCCAGCAATTCTTTTCTGGTCTTGTCGGTTTGATGTTCTAAATGGCCCCTGAATCTGGGTGATCACCTGCCTAGATTTTGGAAATATTCTGCTATGTTATTGAACGTTTGTTAGGATTTTAGCTTACAGTTCTCCATCTGTGTCCAGGACTTGTACTGATCTTTTGTCATCTGTTTAACCTATTTCAGGGGTGAGACTTTCCATTGAGATATCTTTTTGTTTGACTTACACAGTTGTGCATATCCAGCATTTCAATTCCATTATTGTCAGCACTTTTATCTTTTAACCGCATTCCTCACTCAAATCCCATTTCGCTGCGATGGCTGTTAGTGTTCTCTTTGAATTTAGGAGTTTACTTGCATCCTCTCTGATGCTGCTGAACAGTCTTCTAACCGTTATTTTAATTCTTTTGAGTTTCACGTACTTCACTGTCATCAGAGTCTAGTACTGCAGCACTGGGAATTTTTGGAGAAGTCACGTTGCCTTCATTTCTCTGTGTTTCTATTTTAGGGCGTGTGCACCTGGGACTAGATTGTTAGCGGCACTGTTTTCCTCCCTCCCTCCCTCCCTCCCTTCTTCCTTCCCTCCCTCTCTCCCTCCCTCTCTCAAGCACCTGCAGGTGTGTGGTCTCTCTTTCTTTCTTTCTTTCTTTCTTTCTTTCTTTCTTTCTTTCTTTCTTTCTTTCTTCTTTCTTTTTCTTTCCAGCTAAACAGGGTATGTTATGTAGCTAAGGCAGAGCACGAACTTGCTAAGTAGCTCAGACTTGTCTCAAATTCATAAGCATCCTGCCTTATCATCCTGAGTTCTGGCACAGATGCATGTGCCAGCATAACATAGATGTGTAGTATATAGTATGTTACATATATTAAAGTATGTATATTCTATGTACTCTACATATATTCTGGGTATATTTTTCTGTATATATTTTTTCTTGGATATTAATTCCCCATCGGATAAATACCTGGAGAAGATTTTCTTTCATTCTGTAGTCTGTCTCTTCGGTGTGCCAGTAGTTATTTCCTCTGCTGTTCGTAACTTTTCAATTTCATGGAGCACTATTTGTCAGTTTTAGGTATTTTTCCTGAGATATTAGAGTTCTATTAAGAAAATTTTTGTGTATTTCCCCTAATATTTTAATAGTTTTGAGTCTTACATTATGGTCTTGATCTCATTAAGAGTTGATATTTTTAATAGTGTTAACAGGTAGGGATCTCCTTCCAATGTGCATGTGGATATCCAGTTTTACCAGTACCACTATAACAAGGTAGTCTATTCTCCAATGTGTGTTTTTGGTACCTTTATGAAGAATCAGATGATTGTTGCTTCCTGAGTTACTGCTGGGCCCT